CCTTAATCACCCACCAGCCAAATCTAACACGCCTCTTTCGTAAGGTTACTTACCGCAGGTTACGCGAGTTTTTGGATTGTGGAGCGACCGAGTCGCAGTTTTCCGAACCCAACAATAGCATACGTTCTATATTTATTTATTTATTTATTATATGATAGTACTATCTCTTAAACTGTATTTCATTTTCAGCGTTGTTAGTTAGAAGATTGGAAGGCATTGACGTTTCAATAAACTCTTATTGGAAGACGTATTGAAGCATGGCGTAGTATGAATCATTAATTTTGATTGGTTATAATTAAAAAGATCGTATGAGTCCTCAATAAAAAATTTTGATTTTCTAATGTTTTTATTGGGATTCCGATTCAAATAAAATTTATTGGAAGCTTCCAATTAACAACACTGTTATTGCAATACTGTATTTATCCTTTATGTACTTTTTTTTATCAAGTCGAATTACTAGATCCATGCCATATCGCTTCACTGATATAAAGCCGGTTCCAACTCTAATCAAATCAATAACCTCAGCCTAAATTGTATAAACTAGCCACGTGCTAGCATATTTTTACTAACTACCCCAAGCAGAAATTCTAGACAAAGCAGAATTACGTGATCGGTTAGTTAGCGGTAGGGACCCGTAAAAATTTTCGTGTTATACGGAATCTTTATTTGCGTTATTTCAAAAAAATTGTATTAATTTGTATGTAATAAGAAATTAGCTTTATATTAATTTGCGATTTTTTTTTCTTTTTCGGAAAACATAAATTTTTATTAGTTCTCTTTCGGAAATTTTCGGAATCGATTCAGACACTATCCAACATTATTAGTCAATTAAATTTATAGAAATATCACGTTAATTTACCCTTAGAAATTTGTTTTAATTGCATAATAATCAATCTAAACTTGCATCAATTTGTATTAATTTATATATCTGATTGGCGGTTCGATTACAATTTCACGTTATTCTGCTTTGTCCCCAAGCTCTACTGTATTCACTCAAGAGTATCTCGAAAAATTCTGCGTAAATCATATGATTAATAGCTCCGATACAAATATTCGCATAGTACTGTAACATTATTATTTAACAACGGCTTAAATTAAAGATCTGTTTTCTTGTACATATTCGAATAAAAAATATATTAAGTTAGAGCTTTAATCATTTATTCGTTGGATACTGGATTTTATAGTAAAATTCAAGCTCTATACTAGGTTAAATAAAATCATAATATTAACATTACTTCAAATAAAATTTAGAATTTATCCTCGAAAATGGTTATATTGGTTATCTTAAGTGTAATGCAGAATTATAAAGCTAATAAATGTACCATTTTATAATATTAAAAATTTATTACATATTCGAACCTTATCGCACAGTATATTTATTGTAATCTTTCCAGGTATGCAGATTTGTAATCCGTCTTTGACAATTAGTAATATCATTCACTAAATTTTTACTTTAAATTGGTGAGTATTGTTAAAAAGTAAAAATTTTTCATAGTTGTACGAGCATTTCAAACTATTAAAAATTTCACAACTACGTGTAACACAATAAAATTAACAACGAATCCTTATACAAAATTTTATATGTCTTTATTCAGTTCTTCGGTTGGTTTATAATCATACAAATCTTTTGATTCGAGAGTATGATGCACATATAAAGTGCTTAAATAAGGTGAATATACTTTGAATTTAATAAAGAATAATTTGCTAAGCAAATTGGAAAGCACCGAAAGGCCTGATGCTATTAAAGAGAATATTAATAAAATTTCGATTTCGACGCTATAAAGAACATAAAATATCTAAAATAATTTATATATTAGTAAAATCAAATATATATTACTTTTTTATTTATTTTTATTTCAACATACCTGAATAACAAGCTGTGGAATATCTGCCAAAAGAACGTCAGTGCAAGACCCCCAAAAAATCAATTTCAATGACTTATCTGAGAATGGTGCATTGAAAAGTTCAAATTTCAATAAATACGATTTTAATACTAGCAGCACATCAATACTTGAGCAAGTTAACAATGCGAATGAAGTAGCAATTCTTCCATGTTTTGCAAACCATTCAATAAATTTTGTATCTTTCTCCATAAATAGTATTGAAAATGCTAGAATTAAATTGAATCCCACGGGAACTGCTAAGAATATTATACTATAATAATTTTGATTATAAAAACATAAATTAATAATGCAGTAATAAGGGTTATCGGAAATTTATTAGAATGAAATACAATCTGACCTCGGTATGTAAAGGTTTTGGATACCTTTAGCATCAGTAAAAATAAATGCTGTAAGGGTGCCAATACGAAATAAAGCAATTCCAAGTTGGAAAATTGCGAAATTTTCACTCTATATTTTTATGGTATTTTTTATGTTAGGTGAAATCAACCAAAAAAATAAATAAATAGGAATATTCTACTTGAAAAAAATCTTTACCTCTGGTGACTTCAAACTGGCTATTATGAACAATAATAAAAATACAGATAAAACTACAAATGATACAATGATCTTTGTCTTATGTAAAGCAAAAAACTCTGCTACTGACGCTATTAAAAAGAAATAAATAAAAAATGAATAAATTATAAATAAATCATAAAAATAAACAATATTGTTTTTTTACCAGTTGGCATAAATCCATAAGTTTCATCTAAATACTTTGTGATAGTCCCACTTGATATGTTTGTAAATTTTTTATTTGATATCAATAGATCTAAATCATCTCTCATCGCTGTAGCATTCTTTTTTTTACCATTTTTTGTTCCAATAATAGAAAGCGAAATAAGAATTTTCGATTCGATAGAAGATGTATCAAATTGACTATGTTCATTTGATTTTAATCTCCCCTTTTCTATCGGAATTATCATTACGAGTTCATTTATTAAATTAGTGAAAAAATCATGTTGTTCTGAGCTATTCAATCCTTGAAAATATTGAGTTCCATTTGTTGTTAATCGTAGTTTTCCCTGGATATCACCTAATTTAATCGTAAGTTTAGAAGAATAATTATATACTGACATATAAACAAATTAATAGATAAGCTTAAGACAAATTTACTGACTATCAACCGGTTTAATTTGTAGAGTTCTATTATCTATTTATATTAATATAGGGTAACGAAATTCGATTGTTATTAAAAACATATTCAAATAATTACCAATTTAAAGTAATTAAATAATAATGTAAACCTGTTTGAAAAGTCCACATATTTGAATCAATTCCCGGTATAGGTTCACCATACTCACTACTTTTTACAAAATTATTATCCATTTTTACATAATATTGACCACCTGGATCATTAAAAGTACACCGAAACACTTCAAGTGTGATAACATTGCCTGAAGCAGTACATTTATTACAAGTTCTTGAATTAATTGATTGTCGAAGAATATTAGTTTTGTTAATTTTCTGATAGATGGTTAAATTGGCATCCGAAAACGAGAATGAGATGCGATCATTAAACGTGATATTAATCCCTTCGGTATTCAATGCTAGATTATTGAAGCCTTTTTGAGGATATGTTGAGTTTATATGTAAATTACCATAACCGCTATCTATATAATATATGTTAATTATTATACTGTATATTTAATTAAAGAACTTTATTTTCATTTCATTCTATACAGAAACTTAAATCTCTTAATGCACAGTAACTGCATGGTAACTATTTAGTTATGATTAAGTTTAAAAGTAAACGTAACTTCTACATCGTTACTGTGCAGTTACTGTTGTATTAAGATATTTAAGTTTCTGTAAAGTTACTTAAAAATGAAATATTTTACCAATATATGGAGCAAGTTTAGGCAGATCAATTGAAAGAAGGCGCCAAGAAGAAGTTGTCTCATTTAGTGCTACTATCATTGTATTATTTTGTAATATGTCAAATGCGCCAAGTAAATTTGCAGTAATAGGTTTTATTGGAAAGTCATAATTGAACAGGTTATTATCTTCATCGTAAAGATCAAAAGTGAAATTTATAACTTGTAGATAATGTGTTTGTGACGTTAATGCATATCCACCAAGAGGCAGTGTTCTGATATTTGCTACGCTGTTTAACGATATATTGAATACTGGATCCAATTTTAGTACAGATCCGGCGGAAAGAAAACGTGTCGTTAAATAAAATGGAGTAGTTGTTACTACAGTGGTGGTAACCGGTGCGGCTGCGGTCGTAGTCGGAGTTATAGTTATTCTAGTACTATTAATTGATATTCCAGATAAAACGCATGTGTGCCCAATGTAAACATAGTCAACAGAGCAATGTAAAGTTCTAAATGCTATATTGATATTAGGAGTAGGCATCTCATGTAGAATAATTGATTGGCTTGTATTTGTTTGATTATAATCCAATATTATGGCATATAATCCTGCATTAGCAATAAATTGATCCGATAACGTGTTAGAGGTTGCATTCCTTCTGGTTGTATTAGCATGCACAATTGCATAACCACCACTTATGGTAGCAAATACGGTAACTTGAATGATACCGGTAGAATATATATCATGGACTCTATCACTTTGTAATAAACTGAAACTTCCATTGTCATTACTAAAAAAAAAAAACAAAGATTTAAATATTTGTGTGCTATATATGTGATTAATAAATACAGTAACATAACGTACTATGCATATTGACTCCATTCAAAATCACTTGTCCCGCGAACCACGGATAGACGCAAAAATCCCCTTTTAGGAACAATATTATTTACTATATATTCATTTGGTATCCAGGCATTGGTGGCTGGAGCTAAGTATGATGGTCCAAAATCGATTTTACTTCCATATAATAATGTATAATCAATAGATACTACTTAAATATCTTAAATATAGTGTTTGAATGCTTATATTATACTTTCAACAAACCTTATAATTCTCCCATTCCAATCTAAAATCATTCCCCTATCCATAAAAGTTGTATTATCAGAGGTATCAGTTGCATGAACGTATGACACCAGAATGTACTTGTCAAACAATGGGTATATGTTTATAGGATTTTTAGCATCAATATAGCAATAATTAATGTCTTGTATTTCTTCAATGTTATCAAAATTTATCTCAATGACACTTCCGTTTGCCTGAATAACACGAAGCAATAGCCTTTGTTCAAAACAGTAATTAAAGGCAAAGAAATTGAAGTAATTCACCCGACTGATGCGAATAACTGCCGTATCCGCACTGTCTTGATAATGTGTAATACCTAAGATAAAAGGCTGCCCTCCAGTAAGGTTAGGCTGTTTAGACATTTCTGTGTAGGTAAGTTCTGAATATTTTATGCTATTTTGCGTAAGTCCCGTTGGTAAAAGGGCAAGCAGGAAAATGGCAATAAATGTAAATGTTCCATTGTATGACAGGATCTTCATTTCTTTAAATTTTGTCGTTCAGGAGATAAAAGAATAATATGATATGTTGAGCTTAAAGGCTTAGATCTAATATATAAAATCATCGAGGGATCAATTATACAATCTTAATCTTTTAGAAATCATCATTTAAGTTTTCCTTCTTCCTTATTACTATTATTGCAATTATTTTTCTTTAAATAATACGTACTAAATTATTAAATCATAGCATAAATTCAATTTAGCACATGGAACTTGATAAGGGCTGATTATCATTATCAAAATTAAACTGATATGCCCTCATTATAACCAGAGGTGCTGGTAAAATATCATTTAACTATATAGTGAAATTATTACAACTCACTAGTTAATTTAACCAGCATCTCTAATATGGTATAAAGTAATCAAAATTTCAATCGTATAATAAGATTTCCTTTTTGAATTGTGATAATCTGTGAGGAGGGAAATTACCTTACTAAATAACGGGATTGTTATCTACTATATTTGAAAGCTTAAAAATGGCGTGATGTCGTGTAAGAGGCAAAAGGTAAA